TGTGTGTGTGTGTGTGTGTGTGTGTGTGTGTGTGTGTGTGTGTTCTAAAATGAGATTTTGAAGCTTTGCTTGCGATTGCCAACTTAAAGAGAAATTCCCCGGTAATGGATTTATATCATGCTGTTAATGGCAAATCTGATGAAAACATTTCAACAAGTGGTTATGATCTATTTATATTTTTAATTTAGCAGTCTCCTGGTGAGCCAGTCATTACAAACCCATGCTGCGCAGCCACAGTAATTCACGGGAAAATGTGTATAAAAGTATGCATGGGGCATGTGAACAATTTGATGGACTGCTGCTGCCATGAAAATATGCTGTGAATGTCTCACTGGGTCTTATATCACAATATCAGACTGTAAGGATATATTCACATAGTTAAAATTGCTGAGAGAGGATCTAACAACAATAAAACAAAATCAGAACTACATGAAGTCTTACGATTATTAGAAAGAAGACATGGCTCAACAGTTCTATTTTAGACCTATTACACTGTAAAACACTGTTAATCCTCAACGTTACTTTKTTGTTAATGTGGAGCAATTTACCAATCTTTCAACATTGCAAAGAAACTTTTTTCTTTATTCATCAGTGAAATAAAATTATGACAAAATTATTGTGCTGACATGTACCTGAATCATACAAGTTTGTAAAATTTAAAAATAGCTTGAATTTTTAATGGACCAAAATTCAGTTTTAAAGCAAATTAATTCAAATTCAGAACTTTAAATTCAGTTTCAAATCATTAAATTCAGTTTAAATTTAGTGAAATTTATTTTTAAACCAATGCGTTCAATTTCAAATTATGCACATACAGATTCAATCTGAGCAATTCAAATTCAATTCCTGCTGGCACAAGATTTATCCCATAGATTTCCCCACCACCAAAACATGTACAATACTTTGCCTTCAGGCCCAGGCCTTCCTTGAAAAAGAGATCTGAGATCTCAACAGGACTTGCCTGGTTAAACAATGGAAAATAAATAATAAATAAACTAAGCTGCAGAAATAGTCCTGTCTGGGGTCTAAATGGCCGTTTTTAGCTCATTTTGAATTTACCCTTATATTTTCACCTTAAAAATTATTTACCTTGTCTTGTTTGTTTATTTTCAGCACAACCATAATGTT